TAAATTTAACTCTATCTGATATTAACTCTATCTGGTTTTTAACTCTATCCAGTATTAACTCTCTACTAACTACTAACTAACTATTGATTATACATCGAAAATAACGTAATTATTTATTTAAAAAAAAAATAAATAAAAAATTACAGTAATTATAATCATTATTTTTTTTTTTTAAAATTAATTGATAATGATGATAATAATAATAATAATAATAAATAAATAATAATAATAATAAATAAATTATTGGACATATGTCTGCCTTTAAAATAAACTTGATTACAACCTGAAAGGTATTATTGAAAAAGGTATTAAAAAATATTGAAAATGGGCTTTTTCGCATAAATTAACTTTTAACTTTTTTTATTTTATTTTATTTTTTTTCGCATAATTAACATGAATTATTGATTAACTTTATTTGGTTTTTTTCATTTATCTTTTTGAATTACATTACCGTAAATATATATTATTATTAAAATATATCATAAATATATTAAATATATATTAAATATATATATATCGGATTGTCTCGAAATTATATCGAATTTGTTCCTAATGTTCTTTAAAGTTTTCACATGTTACTCACAACAAAGTATAAATAATTAATAAAAAAATAAAATTAAAAAATGTTTAAAAAAAAAAAATATTTAAAATATTTAAAATATTTAGATAACAAAAAGTTGATAACAATAATCGAAAAGTAAAGCAATTATGTAAAATAAAAGGCAAAAGTATGTAAGGCAATGATGTAAAAGGCAAGTATAAAAGGCAAGTATGTAGCAAGTATGTAAGGCAAGTATGATGTAAGGCATTTATTTACTCCTCTCCCTCCTCCTCCCCATAAATTTCATAAATTTGCATGATTACTTAAATTTACGTTCCCCACTTTTTTTTTCAAATTTTTTTCGGTTATCAAAATTATTTTTGTATTATATTTTTGTATTTTTTATTCTCTTTATCCTTATTTTATTTATTTTATTTATTTTATTACTATTTTCATTGTGGAAAATGAAGAAAATTTCAATTTTATAATTTTATCACTAAAAAAAGTAACACCTAAAACCACCAATTTATTTGCCTTTTAGGATTAAAAATTATTGAATATAATTGATTGAATGAAATATAATTGAAATTGATTAATTGAATGAAAATAATAAATAATGAATATAATTAATTGATTGAATGGATATAATTGATTAATTGAATGAATATAATTGATCGAAATCGAATATAATAATCGAATAATATGAATGTCAAAATTCAATTCTAATTATAATTCTATAATTCTTAAAAAAAATAAAGCGTACAGTAATAAATTTTTAACCTTTGCATATGTCATTATTGTTTCATCTTATTTTTTTTTCATTATTTTCCATTATAATATTTTCCATTATAATATTTTCCATTATTTATATTTTTTTTATTGTTATATACCTTATTTGTTTTATTGGCTGGTTTGCATTTGCATCATCATCAATCATTATGGTCAGATGATTCTTTTGTCTTTCATATTGTTTTTGTGTGAAAAAAATTAAAATTAAAAAATTAAATATACACAAACATTAAATTATTTAAATTATAAAATTAAATTATACAAGACAAAAGTCTATTAATTAAAAATAAAAAAGATTTATCAATTATTATAATTTGAGAGGAAATATTTTATTAATAAAGAACCCTCCTCTATATTCTCTATATATACATTTGCTTTATACTCAAATATAACTCGGTATAATTCGAGTATTACTCAATATAACTCAGTATAGTTCGAGCATAACTCAATATAGTTCAAGTATAACTCAGTGTAACTTGGTATCTCGGTTAACTTACGGTATAATAGTATGCAACACAGTATGTCGCCAGAAAATCAATTGGGTTTCTGTGATGCACGCTTTTTTAATATTTGCAAAATGTAGTAAATGGCAATGGTAATGGAATGGAATGGCAAGTGATTAGTTAAATGTCAAATATACACAACGATAATTACGATAGTTTGTTTTTTTTTTGAATAATTAAAATAATTGATTGATTGATCAATTATTCAAAAAACTTTCATTTTTGGAAATTTTTAAAAGAAAAATTGTTCCGAATATTCTAAAAAAACTCTCCATTGTTCTCGAAATAATAATAATTGGAATAATTGGAATAATTGAAATAATTGAATTGGAATGATTGGAATAATTGGAATAATTGAAATAATTGAATTGGAATAATTGGAATAATTGGAATAAGAATAATCGAAATAAATAATCGAAATAAAAAAATAATTGTAATACGAAGTAAATAAAAATAAAAAAAAAAAATAAATAATAGGAATAATTAGAATATTACTCGATTGAACGAAATATAATAATTGAACGAAGTAATTATAGTAAGTGGTAAGATTGAATTTCTCCGAAAACCCAGATTTTCATTCTTATCACTTACCGTATTCAATTGTATTCATCTCATCACTCACCTCGCTTACTTCACTTACCTCACTTATTCTCGCACATACTTACTTCACTTACTCTCGCATAAAACTCTCACATACTTCATTTACTCCCTCATGTATTCTCACTTATACGCTCTCACGTACTTCTTTCCCTTAATTATTTCATTTATTCGACTTTCTTGACTTATTTGTATTACATTTGGATATTATTAGATGATGTATTATCCCGGATGTTATCACATGTTGTCATGTTGTAACGTTAATTCTACTAAACAAATTATTATAATTCTACTAAACAAATTATTATATATCTTTATGATTATTATGGTCATTATGGTTATTATTCTTATTCTTTTTACTTATTTTAATTGTAATTATTGTTGTTATCTGTTATTATTGTTATTATTGTCATTATTATTATTATATTATTAATATTATTATTTTATTTGCCGTAATTCTAATGTCCAAATTATTATCATTATCGTTATGATTCCAATCCATTATTATTCTATTGCTATTATTATTGTCGTGTTTGTCATGTTGTTATTATTGTTTATTATTTATCTATTTACCGCAGCGATAAATTTCCTTAATGTCGATCGTTTGTGTGACGTTCGGCGAAAAAGGAAATTTTAAAGAAAAAACTTAAAGAAAAAACTTAAAGAAAAAGAAGTCATTAAGAAAATTCAAAATCATTAAAATCTAAACTCGTGTATTCCTTTTTTATCATAATTATAATTTCATATGAAATATTTTAAAAAATGAAAATCATTATAAAAAAAAAAGAAGAATAATAATTTTTTATCTATTCTTCATTTATTTTTTAAAAATAATTAAGGTAAGCTTAAGTTGACTTTGTAAACAAAATAATAAGTTATTCAATTAACTCAGAGAAAGTTCTGAGTCATTTAAAGGAGAAATATTATTTGAAAAAAATTATTTCTAACCAATTTGAAAAAAATTATTTTACATTTTATTATGGTTATATTTTTTTTTTTAAATAATATCTTTTTTTTAGATATTGTTTATTTTATACTTTTTTAAAAGAGAAATTATTCATATCAAATCATATGATTTTTATATAGTAAATTAATACAATTATTGAATTAAATATAATTGAAAATTGAAAAAATTAAAATTGAATTAAAGGTTTTTTATTTTTGATGATATATATATTATATATATAAATAATTTATATTGATAATTATTATTTAATAAAAGTTATATAAAATAGTTATAGTTAAAATATTTATAAGGTTAATTGTCTTTTTTTAAAAAGAATAAACATATTAATTTCATAATAATTAAATTAATAATTATTAAAAAATTAATTCTTAAAAATTAAAAATAATTAATAATAAAAATTTTATATTATATCAATGATATTAAATATTTTATTTTATATACAGAAATTAAAGTTTTCAAGAATATATATTTATTATTATATGCTATACTTTTTAAATATTAATTTTTTATTAGATATTTTAAGAATTTAAAAATTTTTTATAAAAAAAAATATATTTGTTATATTATATTTATTACTTGATATTTATTATATACAAAATAATTTTTTATTATTTAAATATTATATATGAAATTGATGATCATAAATACTTTTAATCTAATTTAACAATATCAATTAGTAATTATAATTATATAAAATTTTAATTATATATTTTATTTTTATTAACTAATAATTATATTAGTATTAAATACTTATAGTTTTTTTTTTTTTTTGTTCCAATGAGATCTTGCTTCAAATTTATTAATTAGAAAAAGAGAAAGTTTTTTACATTACATAAGATTACATAATATAAAATACACAACTTATTCTAATGTTTGTTTGAAAAGATGAGACTCAGACTAATTCATAAGAGACGGGCTCACAACCTACCACCTGATTAAATACTTATAATATAATTTAGTAATATTAATTAGTAATTATAATCATAATAAAATTTTTAATTATTTAAAGATAAAAATAAATTACATTTTTGTAAAACTTTTGAACTTATTTCATTAAATAAAAAAATAATTAATATTTGAAATTTAAAAATTAAAATAATTATTATTTTCTTAATTTATAAATTTTAAAATTCAAATTTAATTTTTGTAATAAATGTAACTTATTCTTATCTTTAAGTTTACTTAGCATCTTTTTGAGATTTAATTATATTTTAAAAACTTTATATATAATTATGGTCATTATTGATTATTTATAAAAAAAAATCATAAATTCGTTTAAATTGCCGGTGCCAGTTATACGCACGTGATCGGAAAATTATTTGTCCGGAGCATAGCGGAGGACATTTATAACATTTATTATAAAAAAGGATCGGTCAAAGGCCAATATCGAATACACTTGTTTTACATATTTTTACAGTAGAAGAAATACTATTAATACCAAATACTATAACTACTGTTATTGAAATTTCTAAATTTTTTCTCCTAAAAATTATAATATAATAACTAACGTTATTACAATTTCGGAATTTTCCTTCGTCTAAATCCAATCTACAAATTACAAATTACAAATTTTTAAATTTTATTTTCCTCCAATTCGTCAACTATGGGAGTCATGACATTCGAAGATATTGTCAATGCCAAGAAAGCTTTGTTAAAATCTGTCAAGGAAAATAGAACTCCGGTAAATATTTAATCGCTTTTGAGGCTTTGAAGCCATAAATTATCAAAACCAAATATTACGAATAAGCCATTGGAATTGGCATACGAATCTAGATGGTTACGAATCAACAATTTATTATAAATTATAATACATTCGTATGGTAACGTATTTTAATTCTTTATTGCGAAATTAAGATGGTTCTTGATATCATGAACCGCTTAAAAGAAGAGGCTATTGTAACGAAGGATTTATTAAAGGTATGTATTGTTAAAATTATTGTATATTGTATTGTGTTATATTTCGAAAGTGGTTTAAAATATATATTGGCATATAGAGAACCGAGATTGGTGTTGTTGTTGGAAAGCAAAGGGGGCATCCAAATAAAGATGTTTCGTTACTTGCTAAAGAATTAGTGAAGAAGTGGAAAGGCGCAATAGTAACCGGACCGTCTCCTAATAACGCTGGACCTTCTACTCGTCCTAATAATAACGCTCGACCAGCTTCTCACCCCAATAATTCCGCTGGCGCATCTCCTGGTGCTAGTACAAATAATAGCGCTAGCCCAAATAATACGACTAGTCCAAATAATACTTCAACCAGTCCCTCTCGACCTACTCGACCAAATAATATCACTCGTGTTGCCCAATCTACAAATAATGTTTCCGGTGCTGCTCAAACCACTCGTCCAAATAATGTCGCTGGTGCTACCCAAACTACTCGACCAAATAATATCGCTCGTGCTGTTCAACCGAATAATGTTGCTGGTTCTGCTCAAACCACTCGTCCAAATAATGTCACTAGTCAAACTACTCGATCAAATATTAACAAAGCTACTACTCAACCTACTCGCACAAATTCTATCTCCGATTCATCATCTCGTTCAAATCTCAACAAAGCTAATGTTTCTCAACCTACTCGCACAAATGCTGTTGCTGGTCTATCTTCTCGTTCAAATACTTCTGGATCATCATCTCGCACTGGTCCTATTAAATCTGATCTAGCTGCTCGCCCTCATAATAACGCCGGACCATATTCTCGCCCTAATAATAAAGTCGGACCAAATTCTCAATCTCGCCCTAATATAGCATCCCCAAGCTCCACAAGTTCGATGACTTCCCCTCAATCTCAAGCGACAACTTCTTCATCGAATGATAATGAAAAATCAAACGAGCAACGAACATTCAAATCCGATAAAGTCAAATGGACCACAGGTGTCGATGTGCGTGACCGATGCATAGCATTGTTATATGATGCAATGTCCTTTGATGCTGGGGCTGGTAAGTATTTCAATATATTTCAATATATATATATATATATATTTGGAATTCGGTTGTTTCATTAATTCATTTACTTATATTTCATAAACTATAATATATAGATATAGAATCCGAGACCCTCACTGTACGAGCAACGGGAATTGAAGAAACCGTTTTCGAACAATTTCGTGGGGTCCCAAGCCAATGTTACCGCGACAAACTTCGGGGTTTAATCTCAAATCTCAGAGATAAAAATAATCCTAACCTTCGAAGAAAGATCATGAATGGAGAATTACCTATCGATACCTTTTGCACAATGTCGAAGGAGGTAAAGTATAATTTATAATAATATAATTTTATATCGTTTATTTGATTCTCTTATTTTTAATTAATCGGTTTGTTTTGTAAATATAGGAAATGGTCTCGGATGATCGAAAGGCCAAAGACAAGGAAATCCAAGAAGCCAATCTTTTCAAAGCTCGATCTGCAGGGCCTGCCCAGGCTGAGACCGAAATGTTCCGTTGCGGGAAGTGCGGGAATAGAAAGTGCACATATTATCAGATGCAGGTAATGTATATAACACTTGTTCAACAAGTGTGTGTTTAGATGAATTTCATTTTTTATTTAATGAGATCTAATTTTTATTCTTTCACATATATATATAGACTCGTAGTGCTGACGAACCGATGACTACGTTCGTCACATGTACAATTTGCAATAACCGATGGAAGGTAAATATAATTTCGAATTATTATTTTCTTCTTAAAATGAGATCAACATTTTTAAAACTTAAATTAACCATGATTTTTTGTTCGGTAAATTAGTTTTAAATAATTCAGTTAGTCGTGGTAACTCAATGCAGTTAATTTAAAAAAAAAAATTTGGTTATATGAAGAATTTTATTAATGAAGAATTGATTTTATAATAATATAATATATCAAAATTAAAATTTAGTTTATAATATATATATCAGAATTAAAAAATTTTTAGTTTATAATAATGTATCAAAAGTTAAAATTAGAGGAATCTCGTAATATTTTATATTTTATTGCGGGATATTATAATAATAATGTAGTAAAATTAATAATTTGTTTATGAGAAAGGATTCTCGTAATATTTAGATTTTGAGGTATTATAATAATTGGTAAATTAGAAAGGATGCTCGTAATTATATTATTTTTTTTTCTCAAATTTACTTTTTATTTTTCAAAAAAAAAAAAATCATTTTCCGAAAATTATAAAAAAAAAAAATTATTTTTATTTTCTTTTTAATATTTTGCAATATATATTTTGAATAAAATTTGAAATTATAGCCAATAAGATTTTATTAAATTTGTCACGTGAAATTGATCATCTATGAAATATTATAAATTTGAAGTCCAGTATACATTTATTTACATTTATTTATTTTCAAAGAAAATTCCAAGAATGGTTTGCTACTTTTTTTTTTAGACAAACGTGGCTTTGCTACTTTCATTAACTAAAATTTATTTTTAATTCGATTACTAAAATGAGAATATTATTGTTATTATGATTAGCATTATATCATTATATATAATAACATTACGTTTGTGATACAAACTTGCATTTTACCATATGATTTGCGCACAAAAAAACCACTCACAAGAAAAAATTGGTTGCTATCTAAAAAGCTCACTCTTTTATATTTATACCTTTTATTTGAGAACATTTTTCTTTCCACTTTTAAATTTTTTTTATCGATTCATTGACAGATATGGCTTGTTCTGGAGTTTGTAAAGGTTGGATTAAACATGCAACCCTTATAAACAATTGTTATCCTACCGGACCTGGAGAAACGGGTCCCAAATCAAGTGAACTTTCTTATCTCATATTTTATGCAAACTCAAAGCCAGCAAAACTTACAAAGTGTGGTGTGTATTTGGATAAAAGGGTTTCTACTGATGTTCGTAAGCGAAAAAAACTGTAAGTTGGTAGTTGATAAAAAAACAAATTATAAAATAAAATATAATAAAAATAAGTTTTAATATAATGTATATTTTTTAAAAAAAATTCAAATATATAAGGGATACAGAAGTTTCTTTACAAATCGTTAAAGCTCTTTTGGATTCCTGTAATTATAATTTAAATTTATTCTCGAAGAATGTCCTCAAAATTATTTTGGCTTCACTGAGTACAAATGATATTGATATCGTCTCTCGTGCTGCCTCTGTGGTAAATTTTTTATCTCTGACAAAATATATTATATATATATATATATATTTTTTACTCTACTCAAAAAAAAAAAAAAATAAATAATATTTCTTAAATATTTAGTTTATTACTTTCTGTTCATATCATGATGGGTCCACACTTGGTGTTGATACAGAATTTACTGAAATCTATGAAAATTTAATTCTATCATTTGCGCAATATTCTATATGTAAAGAGTCCGATTTAAATATTGAATGGAGGTCCGTATTTAGTTTATATTATTTATTAATTTCTTGAGAGTATTTTCCTGAACAACATTTTCTAAGCAATTTCTGATTATTTAATAAATGTAGGTATCGGTCTATTGGACTTCATGCTCTTCAAGGGGTTATTACATCTGAAGCTTTACGCGCGACTAATGCTCAAACTCAATTACAATATATTGTTCCAGCAGTATTACACAATTTGTCTGATGAAAATATTAGTTTAGAAACTTTACAAAAAAAGTAATAATATATTATAATTCCGATTAATCTTGTGGATAAATATTAAATTTTAGATTGCAATATCTTTTTTGAATTTTTTTTTTTTTTATTTAGATAAATTATCCTATTGTTTAACAATTATTCAAAATTATTGGATTTTAATTTCCAATAGAGATATAGATAAAGAGCCTACCAATAATGATTCTTCACGGTCGCGTCGATTTTCCCTTAATATCACAACTACTTCAGCTGAAGATAATGCAAATCTTGCATATCAATGTTTGAAACAATTATACAAAAAGTCAGATACCTCCAACTTACATTATTATTTAGAGCCCACTTTTAATTTTTTGGATGAAACTAATAATTGGAGGCCAAGTTCTTTCGGAATAAGTTTAATCTTGATTATTCTTTCTTCTCTCCAGGTAATAAATTATAATTTCATTTTAATAATAATTTTCATATTTATTTAAATATTTATTAATGGTATTTATTTTATTTAATTTAATTCTTTTTTTACCAATTTTAATTATCATCTAATATATTAAAATATATTAAATGGATTAAATATATTAGGAACGTAATGCTCTAGTTTCTGATATAATAGGACAACTTGAAAATTTGTCAGATGATTCAAATTCCGTGCAAAAGAAAGCTACCCTTGTCGAAATGTTATCATCTATTTTGAATAGCGATTTTACCATAGTAGGATTGTCTACACTAGAAGTTTTGGATTGTTTACTTCGTTTATTAAAAGATTCTTTGAAGAATGCAAACGACGAAAATGTTGAAGAATCTCATGATTTAGATACATTTATTAGTCAAAGACTTATATCTTGCATTGGTGATTACAAAAGTTTAAAAAAAAATTATATAATCTTTATTTAATATTTTTAATTACTATTTTATAAAATCATTAAATTGTTTATTAATCAATCAATATTATATTGTTTATTAATCAATCAATATTATATTGTTTATTAATCAATAGGTGGATTGGCAACTCATATTTATTATGCTAACCAAATTAGTGATATTGTGGAACATATTATTCAACATTTATGTTTGCAATCTGATATATTAGATTTTTCTCAATCTTCTCAACGAGTTGGTGGTAGCAATCAAAGTTTCATTGACGAAGGAATACCATTATCTGATTTACGTAATTCATTATTAAAGTGTTTGGATGTCGTTGTGCAAACAAATAAAGATGCTGAATTGAGGCATTCAGAAATGACGAGGTGTGACGTACCGGTTGAAATATTTCATAATTCGATCGGCCTTTGCATGGATGAAAATCTGAGTAAGTTTTAATCCTAATATTTAATTCTGATAGAATTATATTAATTATTCAGTTATTCGGTTAATAGTTAATTAAGGTTTATTTCTTCTTTATTTATAGATGTAAGGATTGCATTTGCTCAAGTACTTTCAAAGTTTTTGGATAATGGAGATATGCCACAAGAGTCAAAGGAGATTGGTTCAACTCAGGTATATAGATTATATATATTGAAAACATCTTTTTTTTTTTTTAAAAAAAAAAAAAAAAAATTGTAAAATATTTCTATACGTTTTATTTATTTTATTTTTCTTGTAGTTAACATATTTCAATCAACCAGCGATTCATTTTCTAAATACACTTCATCTGTCACTATATCAATATGCAATTTCGAAAAGTTCGCAACCCGCTGATCATGTGGCATTATTAACATTATTACGTGCTTTATTGGTTCGATTTCGAGCTGATCAAATAATTCGTGGCATTCCTGTAGTTTTCAAATTACAGGTGAAAAAAAAAATAATTTTTAAATTTTTATTTCAGAATTTTTTGAGTCTGAATTTTTTTATTTCTTCATTTTTTTTCAGTCTGAAGCAAAAGAAGAGAACCTTTCAGGTTTTGCTCACCAACGAGCATTGGCAAGTGTTATTGTACTTTATTTCCGCGATATTGCAGCAGTTTTGGATATTCCAGAATTACAAAAATACGCAGAAGAAGCAAGTATTTTTTTTTTTTTTTTTATATAATCTATATTTTATAATTCAAAATTGAATTAACTTTTTTTGGTAATACAACAGGTTCAATCAAAGCGTATGGAAAAACATCAATGGTCGACATATATTAAGTCAACTTCATCTGAAAATGATCTTAATAATGTAGACACATCTAAATCTTTTGAAGATGAAATTTTTGATTCAAACAATCATCTTCTGCAACCTATTGATATCTGGTTGGATCGTCAAGTCATTGTTCCAATTTTATGTCAACATAAAGAATTATTGGATATTGGCGGAGAACAACTGCAAGACAAATTGATGACAGAATGGAAACCTGAAGAAGGTTTTGATGATATTAAGAAGGAAGCATATAAAATTAGGTCAAGTAGAATGATGGAAGATGATAAACCGCGGATATCCTTTACTCCTTTTATTATGACTTTAGAAGATAATTCAGGAGATTTAACAAAACCTTCAATTAAAGTAGAAAATTTAAGGGATACACTAGGTAAAATCTTAATTATTTTATTATTTTATTATTTTATTATTTGTATTATTTATTAATTTATAAAAAAAAATCCAAAAAAAATAGCACAACAAATGAATGATTCCTCGGAACATGAAACATCGGTAACATCTGATTTAGAATCGATAAATATGGTTCCATTAGGTAATGGAGCTGGGAAGAAACGCAAAAAGAAACCAAAAGCAGATATAAATTCATTTTTACAATCGATAGATAACAAAGCTGCTTCTAGGTTTGTATTCAAAAGATTTCTTTCTTTTCCGTTAATTCTCCCCAATTGTCCTTTTAATTGATAATTTCTGTCAATTATAGTACGACAAGTTTAGTGAACCCACCATATAGATCCTGAATTTGATGTTCTCTTTGGAATTATCCATAACAGCATAATAATTTTGACAATTCTGGGCGACGATTTTAACCATTATCCATAAATAGAAATTATAAAAAAATGAGATTTATTTATTATTTTTTTTTATACATTCACGCAAGATTCGTGAATTGTTTTGTGGACTTTAGAATAATTATAAAATTTTCAATTTTTTTATTTAAAAATAACTTTGAACGTATAAAGCATTCAAGAGCAAATAGTTTTATTTTTAAATTCAATGTAGACCAAATACGAAATAATAAATTTCGAATCATTTGATCTCTTTGGATCATATAAAAAAAAATAATATATTTATGGATTATATACATTTCAACGAATAATAGGCTCACCACGAAAGCCGGCAGTCGATAAACACTGATTCACTACTTCTAGTAAATGTGTATTTTCCAAAGCGGCTGCCACTCGTTCTTTGTCATTTAATTGTTTATTCACTATAAGGGAAAAAGTTAACCGATTAATATTTAATAATAATATTTTATTTAAATTACATAAATTGTTTACATACCAGCCTGTTCGGATTGATGAGTACCTTTTCTAACCATAATATCAACTTTAAATCTTTCTGGTAAGCTTCTCAATAATCTCACACGAATGCACAAACCAATTAATGTAGCCATAGAACAATGTGGTATTGTAGGTGTGAATTCAATAGAAACTCTATTGTCTTTATCGTTTACTGTTACGTGTTCAAGTTGAGTTACATTTAATTCTTCGAGAGTTAAAGGGTGCTCAGGATCTGTAACTGAACGAATTAAATCTACGATTTGGTAGAAAAGTATTTAATAATAATATTTAAATTTCAAAATCAATGGTTTGAAAAAAGAAGCTTACCAAAAACTTCCTGAGCATCAATCAAATCTTCGATATCCTCCTTCTCATCTTGTTCTGTTAGAACTCTATGAGAAGTTTTTGAGGGTGTATAAATTGTGGGATTTGCGTTAATTAGTTTAGAAGTAAGCACTTGTTCAGACATAGTTTACATAATTTCAAAAATAATGCATTCTCATGATTTTCATATTTATAATTGACCCCGAAAAATCACGGTATTTTTTTTTGTAGATCGTTTTGAGGGCAAACCGTTTTATTTTTTGTTTAATTTTTTATTAATATATGAAGATATGAATATTTCGAATATTCTTGTTGTACATTATTATTTTATCGTAACCATTTTTATAAGGAAATTTTTTTTTTTTTTGTAATTGTCTTTGTTAGTTATTAATTCCAATAAAAAAATATAAAAGATAATGATAATTTTAACAGATTATGCAATCATCGCGCTTTGGTTTCTTTTCATCGATTGGAACTCCCTTTAGTCTTTGTTGAGCTCGTTTATCGCCATGCTCAGCAGCTCTTCTATACCACATATCTGCTGTTAATTGATCTATTTTAACTCCAATTCCTACTTCCGTGAAATATCCCACAGCATATTCAGCTTTTGGAAGACTTTTCTCTGCTGCACGTTTTGCCCAAAGATATGCTTCAGTATCACTTTGAGGTAAAACTCCGGGACTTCCCACCAAATACCAAGCTGTTAATGCAAAACAAGCTTCAGGATGATCTTGTTGAGCTGCAATGGTATAATAATGGATGGAAAGTGCTGCATCTCTAGGACAACCCATTTTTCCATATTCATAACATTCGCCCAATTTAAAAGCGGATGGAGCATAATTTAAATCAGCAGCTTCTGTAAGTAATTGAACGGCATACTCTATATCAACATATAAAACATTATCAACACCTCTTTCATGAAGTTCAGATAATTCATGTAAAGCATGCGGGAATTCTTCAGATGCCGACTCGGCGGCCCTTTTCAGCCATTTAACACCATCACGAGGATTCTTTGATAAACCACATTCACCTCTCAATTCTGCAATACCCAATCGAAACATTGCTCCAGAATGACCAGCAGATGCTGATTTTCTAAAAAAAAAAATTTGCATATTTCAGGTAAATGATTTTATTTGTATTTGCAAAAGGTGATCTAATTGGGAATTTTACCTATAAAATTGTAAAGATTTCGCATAATCTTTACGACAACCCCGACCGTGTTCATAGCATACACCAGTGCAATAGGCGGCGGAGGGATGACCATGTTTACTGGCTTGAACAAATAAAGGAAAAGCTTTATCAAAGTCCGGTTTATTTTTTGTTGTTCCTATACCATTAGAATAACAGTCTGCAAGGTAATATTGTGATTGTGCGTGACTCTTATCAGCAAGTTTTTTTAATAACGATAGACCTTCTTTGACAATTTCGTCCCTTTGTTTAACGTCCTCTTCACTCATCGTTCTTGAGGCATCTACCATAAAGGCAGCAAACTCAAATTGAATATTTGGGTCATTGGTTTTTTTAGCATTTAGACGATATAGTTCAAGCGTTTGTGAATAAGAAAGTAAGGACGCCCTATGACCGGGTTTGAGGTGAGAATGGTCAAGCAGAGGATTTTCCGGAGTGATAAAAGAATTTGGCCTAGATGAATTGTCTGGTGGAGCGAGCGAAGATACTGACATTTTGAAAAGTTGACTTTTGAGCAAAAAAAAACTAATATTTATATAAAAAAATTTATATTGTGTCACAATTAATGTAATAGATAATTAATTTTGTTTGTATTAAAAATCACGTAGTACTGTAAAAAAAATAATTATTATTATCTATTATTATTTATTGTTCGCTGTTTTTAACTTGGAATATTTTTTATTATATAACGAATTCTTTATTTAAATTTTGTAATAATATCACAGGCATCAGATTAACTTTAATTGAGTAATAATCTTGCTTTTTAAGGCAAAGCTTATTCCATGTATTACAGAAATCTCATAAAAATTTAAAATCTATTAAAAACACTTATTAGTTTTCACTAATCAAAATCAACCGTCTATTTTTATTTAATTTGGGAATTTTCTATAGCTATTCTTAGCAATTATATTTTCTTTAACTTAAATATTTTTATTTGCTCTCTGATTATCTCGATATCTAGATCCGGAAAAAATAGAACTTAGGTTAGAGTTGTGGTCTGCGGATGATCAAGCCATCAATCCGACGGATTATATATAATCCGGCAGGCTTTATTCATCCGATTCTATTTCCGGATGACTTTCTATCATAGCGAAATAAGTGTACAAATAGATAAAAGAATTCAGATGAGGTATATTTTACCACCTATATATATGGTTAGGTGTATTCATCACTGTGTGTCACACTATTCGAATATTGATTTTTATTAAATATCCTGTGAAAACAATATTTGTCACCTGATATTTGGCACACTAATTTCTAACAATCATATTACCATATTATTCTATATTTTCCTACTATTAGGTGAATCTAGGTGATTTGATGGTGAAGATAATACTATTGATTTATCTGTTGCTAAACTTAATAAATTATTAACAGGTAAAAATGATTTTATTTTTATGTAATTATTACAATTTAATTATTTATAAAATTATCATGTGATAATTCAATTTTATCAAATGCATAAAAGTGATCTCTTATGCATACAACACGTGCAATCATCTTAAATTCTTTATGGTTATTATTCTCATTAAATAATGTCATGAAATCAACTCTCAGAAATTTTTCGCGACAAATAATAATAAACAATATAATTTAGAATTTTACTTTAATAATAATGTCAATAGTGTCGAGAGTGTAGCTACTTTTACCACAAAAGCGACAAAAACGGAAGTTTCTAATATCAACACCAAAAACATTAAAAACACTAAAAAAGAAACGCATTATTTTGGAGACCAAAAATAAGCGTGACAATTCTGACAAGGTTGACGAGGTTGACAATATTGATAATGCTGAAAAAGAGAAAAGAAAGTCTGTGAATGGTTCAAAGTTGGATGATTCAAATTTTGATAATGCTAATAATATTATTAATACTATTAATAATGCATCAGATAAAATGAAAGGAAAATCAGTTTTCAAGAATAACAAATCACCCATCTTAATGGCTAATAATAATAATGATGATGATGATGATGATGATGATGATGATGATGATGACGATAATAATGATAATAATAATACTATTATGTCAATTGACAAAGACATTTTGGAATTGGATCCAATTAAATTTAAATGAACCAACGATTCAAAAGTACCTTATAGTTTTTTAATTGATACATTTTCTTTAGTTGCTAAAACAAAAAGTAGAATTAAGATTATCAATTATTTAACAAATATGTTACGGAATATTATTTTACTGTTACCTGCTTTTGGCTTTCATCAAATCCAATAACTCCCTCTTATGAAGGGAATGGAATTAGGGATTGGATCAAATATTTTAAATAAAGTTATTTCCGAAATATCAGGATGTTCTTCCCAAAAATTAAAAATATATTATGATCGATATGGTGATTAGGTGATGTGGCTTATGCTGCTAAAGTTTCTGTTCGAACTTTAATTGACCCGACATCTTTAACTATTGATGGTGTTTATAATACCCTTTGTTCAATATTAAAATTAAAAGGTTCCGGAACAGTAAAACAAAAAAACTATTTAGTTACAAAATTATTGGTATCATGTAAAGGTGAAGAAATTAGATATTTGACTAGAACTTTAATACAAAATTTATGGATTGGTGCAGTAAGAACGACTTCTATGATTGCTCTCGCTCGAGCATTAAACCATTATCATCATCTGGAACATTCGGTTCATCTGGTATTATGGAAAGTGATAAATTCAGGAGTTCTTTAAAAATTCTACAGAGATAGGGTGTGGAGGAATAATGGTTAAAGTATTAGATGATCCCCATTGAGTTTAGAAAAAAAAATCAGAGAATGAATTTGTTGGCTAGTTATTGAACCAAGTTCATGTCTAATCTAATCCTAATGGTATTTTTTTATTTTGTATATCAAAGAATCAACAATCTTATTTTTTACTAATATAATTCTAATAATTCTAATGATAACAACAACAACAACAACAAAAATAATAATAATGATGATGATAATAATATTAATGATGATGATGATGATTTTCCAATAAGATAAAATAATTGAAAGTTGGTTGAAAGTAAAAAAGATTATATTAATGGTATTAGAGATTTTGTGGTAATTACATTCTATATATCAATTCAATTTAACAAATCTATTAAATTAATTTTTACCAATTATTTGTTTTTATCTAATAATAAATATATTTTATTCAAATATTTTATTATTGTTAAACAAAACCAATCAGTGCTTGGCATGGTAATGGAAGAAAAGTTAGATGGCGGAGTCCAGTATTACTTATGATTTATAATCCCAAAACAGAAACACTTGAAAGTGTTTGCAAGTGTATATCAGGATTTGATGATCAATTTTACAAGTAAATGAAATTAAAAAGAATGGAACATATTATTATGATGTGGCAGAAGGATTAACACCAGATGGTAAATACTCATCCAATACATATTGATTTTTTAAGTCCCTTTTTTTGAATTTTTTATCTAGTTTGGTTTGAAAATCAAGAAGTTTGAAAAGTAAAAGCTTATTTTGAAAATTTGAAAATTTTGATAATTATCTTTTCTTATATTACCAATTTTGATTATCTCTATATTTTAACATTTTAAATAAAAAGGAGCTGATATCATTATTTCACCTATTCACAAATCAGCATTTGATAAAATTAATTCAAATAAAGACAAGAAGACAAATCTATAGATGATGTTACTAAGAGTGATCAAACTTTGGAAATGTTCTTTAAACAGGATAAAGAACAAAAATCTCATGAGATTACAAAGATTGAAGACACAAAAATACTGGGAGTGATGGAGTGAAATTTGAATCAGATTCATAATTGATTACAAGTAACTTATATTAACTAATTTTGTAAATATTATATGATAATATAATGATTTATTTTAAAACAACAATTTTTTCAAAGATTAAAAATTGTCATATACTGATTGTTTGTAACTTGAAGTGAATAAAATACACATTGGTACAAAAGTCCAAAGTATAGATATGACAATGTTGATATAAACTATATTAAAGTACTCTCCTTTACATTTTTTTGCATCATTTAATAATAATATTGATGTTATTTTTATACAAGTATTTTATAATTCAAATTAATGATGCTGGTAGAAACTCTCAAATTTTTACAAAAGTAGTTACTTATAAATCTGCATATCATTCAAATTTAGAAAAAGAAATATTAATAATAGAATTGGCAAAATTTTATTGTTAATATTTTTTTTTTTTGAATTGAGGTAGAATGTAGGCCTATAAGATAGCTACCCAATTATTATCTTGAATTTTATAATAAAAATTGTTGCAATCTGAAATTAATATTGCTACTTTTATTAAAGGTAGTTACTTTTATTAGGAGTTGCTATTTTTATTAGAGATAGCTATTTTTTATTACAGTTATATAATAATTAAAATTCATAGCAGATATTATTTTTGTAAATTTATTAATTGTAAAAAAATAAAAATTATTTTTTTTTTAAATTAAATTTTCTATTAGTGCTATAGTGCCAAATTACTATATCTAGCTTAAAAGTTATAAGATACACTTCATGATATAATCAATTTGTTTCTTTGACAATTTTTCATTTGTTATATAATTTTAGAAAAATATTTTATAAATTACAAATCAAAAATAATTCATCATTATTGCTACATATAAAACTTTTTATTTTAATAAGTAAATATCAAAAAACATTACTAAGTAACTTGAAAGCCAAGTATTTTCTGTAAAAATATTAGACCTATTGATTCTAAATTAAAAGAATGATACACATCTAAACTTTTTTATCTTAAAATTAAATAATTAACATTTAAGTGTTTACTGTTCTCTCGGTTCATTTAGTGAAAGCAAAAAATCATAAATGAAAAGAAACTTTTAATTTATAGTTTTAAATTTACTTAACATTTTTAGTATTTACTTATAAAAATAAAGAGTTTTATATGTCAAAACTATTATCTAAAATATGAATTTCAACAATAACTAATTTATTTGATATTCCAAATTGGAAATGTAAAATTTTTTGATTATGATTAACAAATTTTTATTATTATTTAATATGCAAGCAGAGTTGAAAATATTTTTTTTAATTTAAGTAAAAAACAAATTTCAAGAATTTCAAAAAATTTTAAGTTACTTAAATTTTAACTTCTATAATTTGTTGTGACTTGTCCTCACATTTATAAAATAACACAATTCTTTTTCAAAGAAATATTATTATTATGTACCTTCTCTCTCTATTTATTTATTATTATTATTATTTCCAATTGTTGTTATTATTATTTTCAATTATTAAACTTAATCCCAATTGTTTTTTTTTCTATATTTATCCCAATTGTTACTATTATTTCCAATTTGTATTATTATTATTGCCAATCTATATTAACTATTAATAATAGTAAATTATGACTTTGTTGGCATATGAAAATTTTCCAAATGAGTATTTGTGATTTTGATTTTTCTATTGGTTTGTTTTCTTTTCCTTTGTTTAGGTTTGTCCTATAAATATTATTGATTAAATTTGTGTAATTAATGTATAATTAATTAATTATTATATTATTATTATTATTATTATTATTTACCTCAGGTCTAACTTTATTTTCAAGAACAGACACTGTTTGCAATCCAACTACAATGAAAGAAAATAGAGAGAAATATTTATTAGCAACAAATAACAAAATAATAATAATAATTATTATTATTATTATCATCATTTACCATCTTCAAGTGATTTCTTTAAATCACTTTCATCTGGAACTTTAACACTATTAAACATAGCTACAAATTCTAATATCAACATTACCAGTAATCATTAGTGTAATTGTTAGTAATTATTAGTAATAATCATTAATAACAGCAATTTTTACCTTCATCCATAGGAGTATTATATCTTTGATCATTCCAATACAATAATCGTGGAGAACTATCTTTCATTAAACGTATGACCATAATCTTTCCTTCATTTTCTAACTCCTAAACAAATAAATAATATTTATTAATTAATTAATGAATAATAATTGATGAATAAATAAATAATTCTCAAACGAAAACCAACCATTATAGCATTTGTCAAATCAATACAATCATCAAGTTCTTTGTATGGCATTCCGCGCGAAACACCAACTTTTTCTTGTCTTTCTTTCAAAAGATTTAACAAGTCTTCTTTTGATCTAATAGCATATTCTGGCTATAATAAAACATTCACATTAAATGTTAAAATTTAATCATCATTAAATTGTTATTATTATTATTATATTATCATTATTATTATAACCACCTTATATTGGAATGTTCGATCAATATTATTATAAATTATTTTCTCATTTCTAATCATTAAGTCATATAATTGTTTATTTGTATTGATATCCGCTATTTTGTTGGCTTTTAGATCTTCCGCCGTTTGAGGAACATCCACTTTTTCCTATTTATAAGATTTTTTTTAAAAAGATTTTAGTTAAATATATTAGAAATATTAGAATATTAGAAATATATATTTATAAAATACCTTAAGGAAACGAATCACATTATGAAGTTGACTCAATGTATGCCTAAAAACTCCTGTATCATTCGGTTGTGAATAGACTACAGTATATTTTATTTAGACGAATGCATTATATAAAAAATAAGTTATTTCGTTCTATTCACTTTAATAAAATAATAATAATAATAATAAATATTATTATTAGGGGTGAAGACAAAATTATGCCAACCAGGCTTTTTTGTCTTCCTTTTCCCTCCTGCGACGTCCGAGGTAATAGATTTCGAATTAGATGAATTATTATTACTATTATTATGATTTGTTATAATAGGGCGAGGTATGACTAGTTGATTAGCAACTCGTTTTCCAAATTCTGCAATTGAATCATTGCTCAAGTTTGACATCTCGTTAGTAATAATAATAACTAATATTTTTTGATTCTCTCTTTGTATAAGGAAAAGGTAATTAAATTTTAAAATTTTGTACAACTCAATATTTCACTGGGTAGTGGGTCCGATCCGGATATCCAGCTATCCGTGAAAATCCATGGATCGACCACTATGTCAGGAAAAGAATAGCACATCCCTATAAAAGCTATATCATCAGAATTAAAAATGATTTCTGGAAATACAAAATAAGGAAAGCATTTGTAATACGATAAGCGAAAAAATAGGGAGAAAAAGCATCCACACACACACACAAACTTATCTTTGGATAATAATTTATCACGATCCAATTCGTCATGTGACATAAACCGTTATGATCAAAACTTTCAGAAACTATTGATTGGAATTATTATATGATTTAAAGCTAGATTTTACGTTATAGCGGAATATATTGAGATAGATGATAAGCAATCCTCGAAGAAAGCAATTGAGGATTCTACCTAACGTTTAGCTTACTGGTTTGAAAAGGCTATTAAATATAGTTTAAAAGAAATCCTTTACTGGTATCATTATTCCTTGAAATTGAAAATAAAGTTAAAAATATGACGGCAGATGGAAAGATTAAAGAAAAGACAGCAAGGTCAATGATATATAAAGAAATTCTAAAATATCTATCTAGTGTTACTCGGAAATTTGCGGATTCGAATCAAAAATTCTTAATTTTTTTGGAGAAAAGGTGCTGGGATCGATAAAATTAAGCTAGTCACTTGATTAACGACAAACTTCTAACTCAAATATTACACCAGGAACGAACCAACTGAAGGTATTATCGGAAATTGAGATAAGTAAAAATTCACCTGAAATATTTACTATATCTTTAGATTTTAATTTTAACAAAGATAGGTTCAATATGAATGTGATATTCTCTGATGATGATGATGCAAAATATTACTATAATTTATTCCCACAAGACCTACTTTGCAGAGTAACGAGAAGATAAAGATAAAGATTCATTTCACTTTGACCCAGAATCATTAAAATGTGTACATGATATTATTAGCTCTGGACTTTAATATGTAATCAAAACCTTGGCAATAATTAATATATGTCTCATTATTTATAAATAAAATTTATTTTGTCGAAACATTATAAATTATTACATGTATTGATTGGCTCATTACGAAACACAAAGCCCGTTTTGGAAAAACTTATTAATTATTTAATAAGTTACATTACTGAATATTAAAAAGCGAGATCGTTATAAATATGCATTATCATATTAAGAAATTATCTGTTAAAGGCATGAAGGAATCGCTCGGTCGTGTATTGAGTATTTGTTTCCCTATCAATTCTACAAATTGCACTGCAAACATCTGAAATGACTGGTTGATGCCTGGCCCTTTATTAGAAAAGGAAAACCATGGTATTTGAATGAAATTTCTCTTACCATGCAGGAATTGCAATTAGCAAGTTTATCTGGATTTTTAAACATAAAAACAAAAATTTAAATCATAAATATCAGTAGCACCATTTGTGATAAAGTGGTTAATAAGAACTTGCTTTGTTTGACCGCGTATGCCATTGCGAAAACCAGGAGCAGTTGGCACATCATTGAATCCTCTTTCGTCCCATTGGATTACCAACCCTGGGTCATCTTGGAATGGACACTCCTTCATGGCACAAAGGACTATCCTGGCAGTATTTTCATCTTGAAGAATTGTTGGAAGGTCTAAAGGTGCTAATAAGAAAAAAGGAAATCATAAATTGCCAGACAAAATTGTGTCAAAAAAATTTCAAGATTAAAAAGAAAATAATTCTAACCAACATTTACAATATTAATATATACCTTTTCCACATCTTCGTGGAAGTTTTTTAACTTTGGTTTCGAATACTGTTGTATGTGAAGGCAGTTACCAAATCATAGGTTATGCAATAGGTTTTTTTTTATTCCGTGAACCCTATTATTTAGTAGACTATTTTATAACGTATGTTTAACCTAACTTGAATTATCAGTAAGTCTCGAAAATTGTTTCTGAGAAAAGAAGCTTCGCATGAATTTAGTAGAGCTAATACAGCTTATGATTTAAATCCAGAATTCATACAAATTAATATACACATATTTTAATCATGACCAATTTTCCTAATTTTGGTCACGGAAATTTCGAGAATTTAATTATTATAAGTTTAATAAAGAGAAAGCATGTTTAATTTGCAACAAAGAGACGAATGGAGTAAAAAATAGGTATTATCTAGGCTGTAATTGATTAAATGGTAAAGAAACTCAAATTCGCGTAAAAAAAAAGTAAAATAATAGAAAATTTCCCAGACAGTTGCGTTGTACGACATTTTAATCCGGAATAATTGTTTGTTTGATTAGTGCAGCGGGTGGAAAATTGATATTATTATATGATTGATTTTTTTTTTTTATTATTTGACTGAATATATTGCGCAAACGATGATTTGATTAATTTGATAATATTTTATTTTTTAACCCGAGACTCCAGCATTTCATCTCGTTTTTATAAATCAAGCGTTAAATTAGTATTGAAATAAAAAAATAAAAAAAGATCTAATTTTTGACAAAGATTATCTCGTAATCCCGTAGAGCCGGTAATACATCCTAATATTTGTGTTGCTAGGATTAGATGACTGGCGCTATACTATTATACTACAAACGTTTTATGAATTTGCCTCGGCGCTAGCAAATCCCAAGTAACGGTGAATTAGTGAATTATACATTATGTGGTCAAAAATTGTTGGCCAACTTAAACCACAACCATTTTCTTCAATATTTGGAGGATCAGCTCCTCCTCCCACAACTACACCATCTCTAAAACATGACAAGCCATACGGTAGAAGATCTAGTGTTGGATCGTCAAAAGATCCGCGTATAACTGTAGCAAGACGAAAAACTAGCTTGTTATATGGAGTGGTGGGCGAAATATCTGAACGAAATAAATCAGATAATCAATCTCCGCGAAAAATGTGAGTTCAACTATTTTATACTCTTGGTTTCGCGACATTACACAGGTCGAATAGTAAGCTATTATTATTTGAAATAATATTTGCTTTTTCTGGCTTTTGGAAGTATAGATTAGAATAACTTTGTAAAGAAAATATAGAAGATATAAAAAATAAAAAAAAATAAAAAAAAATATAGAATATATAAAATATAAAAAGTATAGAAAGTATAGAAAATATAGAAAATATCAAAAAAATTTAAAATTAAAATACTTCTATTAAGCTAGAAAAATCATTTTATGCCATGATCGAACGCGTCTTTCTACAATTCGACCTTGTGTACTTTGTTTTTTGATTTCAGTTAGTTTTTTCAAAACGCGTGACTTTTCTTAACTTCAGTGAAATTCGGTTTGATGCTGCGTTAGAATCCCGCCCGAGCAGCAAAAAGAATTAAATTCACTTTTTCTACAATGGCAAAATTCTTTTGATGAAAAGGTATTAATTAAAAATATGGGTATCTTTTATTTTAATAAGATGATATATATTTGCTTAACAACAAAATTCTTTCCTACTTTATATTTAAACTTATATCCAAATTATATTTAAACGTATATCTAGGATCGAATCTTTTTCCTAATAGCAACTTCGCGTAAATATTTTGAAATTTTTTTTGAAAATCCAGAAATGCTTGGTGAAAGGTACAATTATAATAATTTAAAAATAATTAATTGATTAAAAAAAATTCTATATCTTTTTACTAATAGATTATATAATTATATATATATATATATATATATATATATATTAATTCATAAAATTATAGTTTGGACGATTTGGAAATTTTTACTGATGCCATAACAAGATATTTAATTGACAGTATCCGAAAATCATTATCTTCAGAAAATAAATTACAGGCTAGTCAGGGTACTAAGAATATATAATTCAATGGTTCTTTATTTTTTGTGATTTGAATAAGTGTTAATTTTTTAATTTTTTTTTTTTTATGTAATAAAGATATATTACGGATGTTGGCAGATGAGACAAAATTATTTTTTATTATCAAGACGATTAATTTATTATGCGATGGACCTGTAAGTAGTAATCATTTAAATTTAATATTTATTGAATTGACTCTATATTATCGGGAGGGGGTTTTCTTTTTCACACAAGTCTATTACAGAAAATTTTGTAAAATATAATAAGACCAACATTTTCGCTATAATATTTGATTTATTGATATAATTATTATTCAATTTAGGAATTTATATTTGAGATTATGTCGGCACATTCCCTTCCCGCTCTCTTAATTGAGATATTTCAATGTTTTGTTGAAGTTTCTTCACAAGCTGATTATCCACAAATGAATCTTGGTGATGAAAATCATACACAGAAAATGGCTCCTTCGGAAGTAATTGCAGACATCTTGGAAGATATTCTTGTTAATTTCGTATCAATTTCAATAACTTTAACTCAAATGTTGGAACAAGACTTGTTATATTCATTAATTACGATGGTGATAACGAAACAATCATCTCCAGGTATTAATCTTTGGGTCGAAAGGTATTACCAAAATTTCATTTTTTTAAAAAAAAAATTGATATTAGTTGATATTAGTTGGTCTTTTTTTAATGTTGAATTATCTATTTTAGAGTATTAGAAGTTTTTGTCGAACTTTTCGCTTGTGCCACACAAGACGTTGTGACTTATTTTGTTAACAAAGATATTATGGGTACTCTTATGAAAATATTAAAAAGTAGTATAAATATGGAAGGAAATAAATTTATTGACAATGGACAATTGATATATACTGGATCTTTACTTATAGAATTAATACAAGTATAAATTTATAATCTTTTATTATATGAGATTTTGGTTTGTTTAAAATAACTTTTTTTGACCTTACTTATTATTGTATATTAATTCTGGAACGAAAGGGGGCTCTTCACGTGTCACCAATTTTTCTAGAGTCCTTTATTAATATGAATGGTTATGAGACTTTATTTTATCTACTTATATTTCCTCCTTTCGATACAAACAATGTAACGTCAAAGGTACGGCGAAAATAAGATAATCAACTTCTTTTTAGAAAGTAACTTATAAATTTTTTTTTTTTATTATTCTAGGACACATTAATAACAATGGTCGAAGATCTGGTATTTGCCGGTGCAGATGAATTGAAACCCGTTGTATCTCAAGGAACTCCTTATCAACATAGTGGTGAATATTAATTTTAATTATTTTAATTTGTAATTTGTATAATCATTAATAATTAGATATTAATAATGAAGATATTTTATTAATTTATTATGTATTATTAATGATTTAGATTTTCAATTGCCTACTGAAAATGAGGATGATGATGGTAAGTGAATACATAAATTTATATTAATAAATATTTTATTAATAATATTTTAAATATTTTAAATAATCAACTTATTGAATTAATTTCTTTTCTTTCTTTACATTTTATATTAATAGAAACTCTTTTTCGCAATGAAAAAGCATTTCAAGTTTTAATTTCTGCTTTGTTATATCCAGATACATCATTTTATCCTTTCTCATCGGATTTTAAAATTTCGGATTCCATAAAAATTCCTGATATTTTTCGTCAAAAAATTGTTGTTGCTATTGCAGAGATTTTAAAATCAAATCAATCGAATTATTTCTTAATTGAATCTTTAAATGTCTTACCAACAATAATTGAACAATTGGATAGATTTAGTCCTAAAGTTCAGGTATGTTTTTTTATACTTTTCAAAAGATTCAATAATTTTATTACATTTCTTTAATTTTTTTTTTGTAAAACTTTAATTACCAGAGGTCAATATTGGATTTATTGGTATTTGTTATGGTTGATCTAAATTATGTTCCATTCAGGGAGTTGGTTGTATTGTTGCTTCATTTTCAAGGTAATTCAAACCTTAATTATATAAAAATCTATTGGGATGTTGAAGTTATTTAATCATTTTTTTTTGTATTTATAAAATTTATAAAGGTCAATCTTTGAAACATACGACAGCAATAGTTTGTGAAACTGTTACTTCATTGTTACAGTCATCTTCAAAATTCAAAGAAGTTTTTCGTGAAATAGGATTGCTTAATATGTTATGTAGTCTACTTCAAGATTTAACAACTACATTACAGGAGAAATTTGGTAACACTCATTTTGCTAGAAGAATTTCAATTTCTCAATTAAGTGACGTATTAGATAATCAACAAACCGAATCTTCGAAAATAAAAAGTCGATTTGGTCCTGAAGTTATTGATAATTTTCATTTGATTTCTGAATGTCTTGTTGAATTATTAAAAATCAATAAGACAAATCTTTCTTTGTTTGGATCTACGTGAGTAACTCAAATTTATTTTATCATTATTTGTGTTTCAATAATAAAATTTATTATTTAATTTTTTTTTTTTTTGTTATGTTAATTTTGCAGTTATAAAGGGAATTTATTTGATCTGCTTCAATACGACGAGACTCGTGATGGAGCTTTATCCATATTTGAAACATTGGTCGTTGAAGGTTATGTATTATCTAATGATACTGATCCGCAAACACCAATGTCAAAAATTGCAACATCTTTCTCTTCACAATCATGTATTGAACATTCATTCCAATTTGGAAGATTGATTGAAATAGTTCAATCTCTTCCCAGATTCGATCTCAAAATGAAAAGGCATATTCTTTTGTCTATGAAACGTATATTAGTTTCTTGTCCAGATATGAAAGATGTATTTAGAGAATCAGGTGGCTTTGTTTGTCTTGTAAGCTTGTTGGTGGGACTAGAGGATATTTTTAAATTATTAGCAAATCCTAATAGCGATGAACAAAATTCAAGTGCGCTACAAAGCTTTGAAATTGATGAATTACCTTCAAAGTCACAAGCAATTGATTTATTAAAAGCTATTTTTTTGATTTTTGCTGAAGCAATGTCGAACCATGATTCTAATCGACGATTTTTCGATAGTTCTATTGGATATATTTCCGTCAAAGATGCTATTTGTCTTACGGATATCCTTTCTTCTACTGGTTCACCCGAACATCTTTTTGGAATACTTTTTAGTTTTGCTATAGAAAATGAATTTATCACGGAAGTATTTATTGATGACATCTCAAATACAGAAAATATATCTACAAATAATATATCTACAAATAATATATCTACAACTAATTTATCTACAACTAATTTATCTACAACTAATTTATCTATGAATAATGAAGCTGAACCAAGCAAGATCGTAAAAATGTTGGGAAATCTTACAGACGAAATTAGAAATCCAAGTATAATTCCAACAATAATGGATTTACAACTTTACGTAAATCATAATCCTAAATTGGGTCTAAAGATTTATGAGGCGTTGCTAGCACTTTCTTATGCAAATCGACGTAACCAAGTCATGATGAATAAATCTGGAGTACTTGAAATTGTTTTACGTCGATTGTTCCCAGCTTTAAATGATGAAAGAAAAAACATTGATCCTCAGGAAAAACAATTTTTGACTAGATTAGCTCAGAGATTAATTGAAATGGGTGTTTCCACGACCGAAATTAGATTTTTATTTGAGCAATTTGAAAATGGAAATCAACAACCGGAAGAGATAAACACTAATGTTGATGGAACACTCATGACTGTTATGGACATGGTATTATTTGGTGTACAACGAAGTCGCTGGCCTCGTTTTGTTCAATTTGATATGTGCCAATTCGGTTATTCTTGTTTGGAAATGAATAATCTGAGTGATAGGCAATTTCCTCCCGCGAATGGAGGATACACCTTTATGACTTGGTTAGATATTGAAAATTTTGATTTAGATATTAACCTAACTCTCTTGGGATTAAGTGATGACGAGAATCGTTGCTATTTGCATATATACATTGAAGCTCAAACTCATAGACTAATAGCTCAAAGTTCACCAGGGCGTGGAGCTCGGTTTGATAGTTTCGAATTTCGAACTGGTTGTTGGTATCATATCGCCCTTGTACATAATAAACCACGCATAGGATCTCCCTCATCAATATCTCTCTATGTGGATGGAAGATTCGTAGAAATAGTTAAATGTCCTTATTTAGGACAACCTGCTCCAAATAAAGCAATTAGATCTTATATAGGTACACCAATAGATGTTGCGCGAAAAATAGGAAAAGGTTATGCAAAACTTGTATGGGATTTAGGTCCATGTTATTTTTTTGAGGACGATCTGGATGGTGATATTATCAGTGTATACTATCATCTTGGTCCTCGATATTCTTCTAATTTTCAAGATTCTTTGGGTCAATTCCAAACCTATCAAACATCCACGTTGCTCAATATGAGAGTTGAAGCTTTGAGTCGTCAGCGAAAGGATTCAAACATTGAACTTGATCATTTGGCTATGGTAAACGCAATTCGTGGGAATAATAGCCAAACATTACCCGAGGATAAAATCATTTTTGCTTTTAATGCAAGCAATGTTCTTGTATGCGGTCAAAATACTAGTATTCTCGGTGCAGGACTTTCAGAAGGTACATCACAAGCACTTGCGATTGGAACCGCCAATACAAAGGTGATTTTAAACGCTGCTGTACCAAAAGTTGAACGTGCTTTGAGAGTTCCACATGGACTTGCTTATTTGAGAGGGGATCCAGTTACTGCCGTTCCGTATGGGATGGATGATTCGATTTGGAAGATTGGAGGTTCTGCTGTAGTTTTGAGAATGATTGAGAGAGCGGAGGTATTTTTATTAAATCATCATTATTTATTTTATTAATTTATTTATATTTTCTTAATTTTGAATTAAATTTATTTGTTTAGACTGCTACGGACTTGTTTAAAACTGTTTGCACTCTCATTGAACTTATTCGTTTTAGTTGGCGTAATTCTGAAGATATGGAAAGGATTCATGGATATGAAATTTTAGCTTATTTGTTGAAACAAAAACATGGTCTACTGACTATGGAACTTTTAAATTTACTACTTGTTTTTGTAGGATTAAATCCACTTTCTCATAAGTAAGTTAACAATTTCTAATAATTTTTTTATATATTATTATATATATATTGAATTGGGTGATTAATAAAAACTTAATTTGGATTTAAATTTTGAACTTAATTTTTTGTAGTGACTCGGTAATTATAAATCCACTTGCTTATAGATTCTTGATTTTGGATTTCGATTTATGGAGACATTCTCATGAATCTGTGCAAAGAGCACATCTTCATCAATTTTCAATCTTTATTCAATTGAGCCAGCACCATCATTTTAATGCTAAACGACTTAGCAAAATGCGTATCTTTTTTCATTTTCTAAAGTCAAAAATTTTAAGGACATTATTTTTATTTTATTTCCTTAACTAACCCACGTAATCAATATTGGCGTTATTAACGATCAGATGTTGTAAAGAAAATGTTAGTAGCCCTAAAGACGAATATTTACCAAAAAGAGCTGTTAACTGATTTTATAGCGACTTTAAAAATTGTAGTAAAGTACAATTTTACAACCGAAGTTATAAGATCTATTGCCACTTTTTTGGTCTCTACATTAAATAAAAGTGTGTTTTCTTTGTCATTTATCTTTTTTATAATTTATTTACGTAATCCTAATATCCGAGTATCATTTTTTTTTCATATTTAATAGGTTCCCCTACTCGCCGTTTAGCTCGTAAAGAATCACCTCTTAAAACTGGCATGACTGTTACATTTTCTCATGAGAATGCTGGTAAAACCTCATCAAAAACTATTGTAACTGATGTTAGGAGTGTTCCTGTTGAAACAATGGCAAAACATATTGGAGTTATGGTTATGGAAATGTTAACAGAAATCGTTTGTGATAAATTAAACCCTTTTTATGTTAACAAATTTGCTACTACGATTACAAACAAATGGCCTTTACTCTTCTTTAGTGAAGATTCAAACCCTTTTTGGGTAGTGTGTGCAGCTAGAATTTTATCCAGACTATTTCATTCTCAAGGAACTAATTATATCAATAAATTCCGCACTTCATCTGAAGGGTTTACGGTTATGCAAAAATTACTTCCACAATGGTGGTATCTGACACAATTGCAACAAACACTTTTCACCATGCTTTTCGGTGTAGACATTTGCGATGTTCCAATTGATGCACCATTCGATCTTTTTTCTCTTTTAACGTTATTCAGAGCAAAAGATGACACCACTCATATAGTTGTTCCTGATGTAATGCCAATAATTTTACTCATGTTGAAGGAAGGAATTAATACCATAGTACAAATGAGTTATGATGTTGAAAAAGATATCTCGGCTAAAGGTAAATCTCAGGATGATGCGGTGATTCAAAGAAAGCGGTCTTCTTCAAAACATCAGAGACAACGTTCAAGATCTCTTACTAGAGATTTGGAAACATTTAATGGTAAAAAAAAAAAATAAAATTTTTTTTGATACAGTTATGTAAAATTTGGAATTCATACTTGACAAATTTATTTATTTATTAATTTATTAAATTCTTTTTAAATGCGATCTAGGAAATGATGATAAACCTACAAAAGAAACATTATCTAAGTTATCACATGTAGAACAAACATTCATCCATTTCCTCACGGATATGCATAATAACTCCACAGAATTTAGTGAACTTTGTTATAAAAGCGAAATCATGGATGTTTTCATCGAAATATTGTTTCCTATAGTATGTGCATGTGATGAAGTATCAATTGAGACAGAACTTTATTCGAAAGAATTTGGTTTATCATTTGACGCCGATTCGACATTTGAAAAGTTATTGAGTAACAATTTAAGTAATAATGGAGTATCTGGAGTATTACCTGTTTTAAATACTTTTTTACGTCAATCTAAACATTTTTTTGATGAAGAGCATGGCGAAGAAATGAAATCTTTTTCATCCAATCCAATGATCATTACTACTGAACCTTTTCAGGATAGTCCTTACGATTCGCCAACGCGTTCTAGTCCTACACAAAGTGATCTGGAAGATGAACCTGATTCATTATTTGTAGGAATTAGGCTTCCGGAACGTAAAGAAAAGAAACCAGAATATGAGGAACATAAAAATACTACTGTAGAAAGTCTACTTGAATTTATAGTATCAATTTGTGTTAATTCAATATTAGATGTAAAAACGAAACAATTGGCTGGACTTGATATTGTTCTGAGAGTACGTATTTTAAATTATCGAAAATATTATAAATTATAAATTTATTTTTCTTTTTTCTTTTTTTTTTCTTTTTTTCTTTTAGTCATTTCCACCATCTTTCTTGGAACATCAGGTTTGTTAATTAAATTGTATTTCGAATATTTCACATTACAATATGTAATTTGATATATAATTAATATAATCTTTATTATAGATTCAATTGGAGAGTTATATTTTATTACACGTTTTGGGAAGTCTCAAAAGTACTTTGCAACTTGACATGAATTTATTAAACGATCACCGTATTGTTGCAAATGTAGCTCGATTTTCCCAAATGGCTACAGATACGATATATCAAGGTTTGTAAATTGATTAAATTGACTCAAGTTTTTTTTTTTTTAATAAATATTTTGTTAATGAAGTTTATTTTGATTATAGGATGGTTTTTAGATGGATGTAATCAAATGTATGATTTTATTACTATTGTTCTTGAGGGAATTCAAAGAATTGATGAACCAATTGGAAAACGTTTCAATGATCAATGGATAAGTATCCTATACCGTTCATTAGATAGAATAATTCTTTTTAAATTGTCCGAAATCGATCAGACTTCTACAAAGACAAGTGTTATTATCGAAATTTTAGAAAAATTGATATACCATCAGAAAGTTATTTTTAGTCCCTTCAATACGGACCCTGATTTTTTAAAATGTCTTTGTTATCATCTTTATAAATTTTTACTTTACGACCATCAAGAAGTGAAAACTAATTCAACGAGTGTATCCTTTTCGTTAATTCAAGATATAATTTCCTGTTTAATTAATTCTTTATTCTTGACCATTTCTTACGTCTGCTTTGTTGTTATATTTAGATTTGGAAATTGCTTATGCTTCAAAAACCAATAGAAATGTCTGGAATCTTGAAAACGCGAGTTAAAGGAATAGGTTTGATTTTTTATTTCTTCGTGGATAGATATCATTTAATTTTAATTAATTAATTATTTTATTTAATTTAATTACTGATGAAATATTAACATTACTCTATCATCATAGAATATAAAGAATTAGTCGAAGGATTTGCAAAATTATTAGAAATGGTAAATTCTAATAAATAAATTTTCACTAAAAAATCTATATTATGATTCTAACAAATATTCGAAATTTATTCGAAAAATTAAAAAATTTAGGATCTTAAATCTTTTTTGGAATGGATTGAAGCCCGTAAAATTCAACTTGATGCTTTATTTCAAGAAAACATTTCGAGAGTGTGGGAGTCTCTTATATTATCTGAAATTAAAAGCTGCAAAGAATCTTTAAAAAATATACACTCGAAAAGAATGAGTAAACTTAAAAAATTGTATAAGAAAGCTTCTATAGAACAAGATTTTTTCAATCAATATAGAATTAAGACTAACCAATGGTCTAGACATATTCAGGAAATAGAAACAGGTAGATATTATAAATCTATCCAAGATAACATCGATCACTATAATTATGTGAGAGATGAATGGGCAAAAACATCTACTGATTTGTTTCGTGAGCGAGCACTTTGGGGTTCAAAGACAGTTGACACCGAGGCGAAATGGAGATTAGATTTTACTGAAGGTATAATAATATTGTATTCATTGTATTCGTAATGTTGAAAATTATATTTATATATATATATATTGAAATTATCGTTGGTAGGTCGATGTCGAATGCGAAAAAAATTAGAACGGAATGAAGACCCAAGATTATATTCCTATCGACCAAAAAGTTGTAAATACGAAAATATAGAAAAAGAGGTATAAACTCTTTAATATAAAATGTTTCTATTTTATTATTTATTTCGCTCTTACGTATTTTGCTTATTATGTATTTTTTTTATGTATTTTTTATGTATTTATTAAGGGAGAAAGTCCGCAATCTTCACCAATGACTAAATCGACAACAAGTAAGTATTTGTATATTCGTTAATCATATCTATCTATCTATCTATCTATCTATTTATTTATTTATTTATTTATTCACTTATTTATTTAATTTCGAATAATTTTAATAATTTTATTATTATTATAGGTCTTGAAATCCCTGGAAATCGGTTAAAAAAAGGTGCGTGATTTAATTTTCTTTGTTCAGTTGAATTTCACCAAATTCATCCATTCATTCAATGTTTTATTTTTAGTTTCGGATCGGCAAATGACTCTTACCCCTAGTAGTCCAATTAATGCAAATGATACAGAACCTTCCTTTGATGTTGAATCAGTGGGCAATAGTATGTTTGAAATAACGATATGTCATTGAAGATATCTTTCGTGGTTTCATAATATTTTTTTTTATGGTTTTTTTTTTTTGTATGTTTTTTTTTTTTATGTCGTTAGGTCAATATACTGAATCACAAGCTGATTTTGATGACGAAAATGCATTTGAAGAAGATAAAAATCGAAAAGTTTTAAGATCATTAGAACATGGTGATGCTGTACTGGATATATATAATATAAGCCGCATTATTGGATTAGATGCGTGTGGTAAGTTTTTTTTTTTTTTTTTTTTTTTTTTTTTTTTTTTTTTTTTTTTTTTTTTTTTTTTTTTTTTTTTTTTTTTTTTTT